TAAAAGGTCACTAGGAGTCAAAAATTGATTTAATGACTATGAGTTTGTTGTGACTTTTTAGTCACAAGACCTACCTATCTGTGACCTTTGTCTTTTTCCCATTTTTTTTGGACTGGATTTTTTAAATTAAAAAAAAACACCATTCTTTCATAGCTACTATGTTATAACAATTTATTTTGCTCTGGTTACATATTTTTAAAATTTAATTTTTATTAATCATTTTATTGGCGGGCTTTTATAAATCTATGGCAATCCATCATTCAATTGTATTAAGCACACTTGTACATATGTTGCCATCAACATTTCCAAAACTTCTTTCTACTGGAGCCCATGGTATCAGTTCCTCTCCCCCCTTTACACCCCTCACTCATCCTCGTGAATTCTCGATCAAATAGATATTATTATTATTTCATATCCTACACCGTCTGTCATCTCCCTTCATCCACATTTCGATTATTTTCCCCCCTTGGGGGCGTGGTCATATATCCAACCTTGTGACCAATTCCCCCCAGCCCCACCACCTCATGGTATCGTTACTCCACTACTGTTCCTTTGGGGTTTATCTATCCTGGATTCCATGTGTCCAGAGCTATTATCTATACCAATGTGTGTACACCAGTGTAGCTGTATTTGTAAGGTAGAATTGGGTCATGATTTTGGATGGGGTGTGATGGGGAGAAATATTCAAGAACTAGAGGAATGTTGTGTGTTTCCTCAGTGCTATACTGTACCCTGGCAGAATCATTCCTTCTTTGTGACCTTTCTCAGGGGATGTCCAATTGTCTACAGATGGGCTTTGGGTACCCAATCAGACCCCACTGTTTCACATTGATATAATTGCTTGTTTTGGATCTTTTGTAACCTGATACCTGATCCCATCAACAACTTGTGATCACATACACTGGTGTGCTTCTTCCATGTGGGCGTTGTTGCTTCCCTGCTAGATGGTCACTTGTTTAACTTCAAGCGATTTAGACCCCAGATGCTATGTCTTTTGATAGCTTGGCACCATCAGCTTTGTTCACCACATTTCTTCACCACATTTGCTTATGCACCCATTTTGTCTTCAGCAATCATGTCAGGAAGGTGAGTATCACAGAGTTCCCAGTTATTAGAGCAAAGTGTTCTTGTGCTTAGGGAGGCATTGAATAGAAGCCCAAAGTCCATCTGCTATCTTAATACTTAACATTTAAATATATGTACATTGACCTATATCCCTATCATTATAAGTTAATGTATTTGCATATACACATACCTATAGCTATACCTCTATACATAGCTTTTGCCTCCTAGTTCTTCTATTTCCTTTCACCTTCCTCCCGTCCCACTATCACACTTGCCCACCATTCGGCTATCAGTAAATCCTCTCTGATACATTGCACTTGATCAAACCCCACCAGGCATTCTATACCCTCCTTGCCATTGATTCTAAGTGACCTATGTCTTAATTCCAACCATTTCTAGGTAATGCTATTAATTGTTAGTTACTGCATTAGAAAATGTTTTACAAGGTTAAGCTTTCCTTTTTAAGTGGTTAGTTTGAATAGCTCCACCTATTCAAATATTTTTCCACTTCCCTGTTAGAAATACTTTCAGAATCCACAACCCAAAGATTTGGCCCATGAGCAATGCTATAGAACAGAGACAACTGTCTCATAGGTTTTGCAAGGCTGCAGACCTTTATGGGAACAGACTGTCATAGCTTTCCCCCTTAGAATGGCTGGGATGTCATAGAATGAGAAGGAAAAAGCCTAAGGCTAAAATGCTACCCAAATCCAACCCATTGCAATGAAGTACATTCTGTCTCATAGCAACCCTGTAGGACAGAGCAGAACTGCTCCTGAGGTTTGTGGAGACTGTAAATCTTTATAGGAGCAAACACTGTGATCCTTTTAAGTGGAGTACCTGGTGGGACTGAATTGCCAATCTGTGGTTAGTAGCACAATGCTTTTCTCACAGCACCACCAGGGATCCTTGAATCTCCCTC